TCAAAATGATCCTTCTGCTCCCTGCCCAGAGACCATGTTGGATAACTAGGAAAACTTTCTTGTTCTTGATCCAGCAAGGAGAGGTCTTCTAAGGAAAGTCCTGAAGCCCCTTTGCTTAGCACCAACAGATCTCATGCACAAATACAAAGCTACAACTTACTGAAATCTAGAAAGGACTCCAGGGTGAAAGCACCCTGAAGTCCAGAAAGCACCAGAGGCCAATTCCAATGACCCAGTGTTCCATGAGACCTAGAATTTGTGCTGATAATGGTGATTTCTTTTTTCTTTTTTTTAAGGTGTCAAAATAAATATAATATGTTATGTTCACATAAAATAAAATGTGCCATCTTAACCATTTTCAAGTGTTTAATTCAGTGGTGTTAAATGCATTTATAAATCTGTGAAACCATTACTACCATCCATCTCCAGAACTATTTTCATCATATAAAACTGATATTCTATAACCCTTAAGTGGCAATTCCCCAATAACTCCTCATCCTAGCATTTGGAAACCAACATTCTGTTTTTGCCTCTATGATCATGCAGTAGTTGTCTCCTGTGGCTGCCTTATTTCACATAGCATAATGTCCTCATGGTTCAACCCTGTAGTGGCATGTGTCAAAATTGCCTTCCTTTTCAAAACTGAGCCATATTCCGTTGTACACATACACCACATTTTACTTACATAGTCATTTCATCAATGAGTACTTGCGTTTCTTAGAAGAAGAAATGTAGACATTTAGGCTACTGGAAATAATGACACTATGAATATGGGTGTACAAATCTCTCTTCAAGATGCTGGTTTCAATTCTTTTGAGTATATAACCAAAGTGAAATTATTGGACGAATATATAATAATTCTATTTTTAATTTTTGGGGAACCACCATATTGTTTTCCACAATAGCAGTATCATTTCTATTCCTACTAACAGTGCACAAAGATTCCAATTTCTCTGCACCCTTATCAGCACTTGTTATTTTCTTTTTTTATATAGTCTTATATTTATTTATTTTTTATTTCTGTGCTCTGTGAACCTTTATTTTTTTATTATTTTTAATGTTAAATTTTTTTTAATTTTTAAAAAAATTTAAATTTTTTAAAATTAATTTTTTTAATTTTTAATTTTTTTTAATTTTTAATTTTTAATTTTTTAAAATTTTCACTGTTTTTAAACAATATTTGCTTCCCCCCACCCCCTCAGGTGTAGCCCCCATAGAGTTTCCTTCCCCAAGGCACCCGTGCACCATCACCTCAGTCCCCTGTGCTCCTCCCTCCCTCCTCTGATCCCTCTCCCTCCTCCTCCCTGCAGGATGTCTCTGATTTATAATTGTCTGTTTTTGCTTTGTTGTGTTTTGTACTGTTATTATTTTTTAACGCTTATGTCTTATTTGGTTCCCCTATAGTCCTGATATAAGTGAAACCATCTGATATTTTTCTTTTTCCTACGGGCATTTTCTGATTAGAGGATAGTTGCCATCTTACTGAGTATGAGGTAGTTTCTCATTGTAGTTTTGACTTGCACTTTCCCAAATGATCAGTGGTGTTGAGCATTTTTCATGTGCTTATTAATCATTTGAAGATCTTCTTTGGAGAAATATCTGTTCAAGTCCTTTATCCATTTTTTAAATCAGGCTTTTGTTGTTGGGTGTTAGTGGTTCTCTATTTCTGATACAGTCTTTCTTGGAAAATGTCCCAGGTGCATTTGAGAAGAACAAGTTCTTGAGTAGCATACTCCATAAGTGTCTGTTAGATCTCATTGGTTTTGTGTTCAGTTCTCTATTTCCTCACTATCTAGTTGTTTATCCATTTGAGAACGGGCTATTGCAGTTACCGACTGCACAAACAGTCTATTATCACAAACTGTCTCCTTCCCCTTCATTTCCATTTTTGCTCCATTTAGTTTAATGATCTTTCATCAAGTGTAAAAGTTTACAGTTTTTATATCTTCTTGTTGTATTGAGCCTTTTATTAATATATAATATCCTTCTCCATTTCTTCTTACCTTTTTTGGACTTAAAATCTATTTTATCTGATATTCATATTGCCATCCCCACCCCTGTTTCTTTCTTTTTTTTTTCTTTTAAATAATTGCATGGACTGTCTTTATCATCCCACTCTTGAGCTATTAATGTCTTTGGAACTAAATGAGTCTCTTATTGTCAGCATATAGAGTATTTTTAAATTCATTCTACCATTCTATATCTTTTGATTGGAGAATTTAATTCATTTACATTTAAAGTAATTATTAATAAGGAGGGATTTCTGTCATTTTGTCATTTGTTTTCTATATGCTTTATGGCTTTTGATGTCACTCATTTCCTACACTACTGTCTCCTTTTGTGTTTTGTTTGTTTTTTAGAGTGAAATGTTTAAATTCCTTCTTATTCCTTTTGTGAATGCATGTTCTGTAGTTATTTTCTTTGTGACTGTCCTGGAACTCACATTTAATATCCCAAAATTATAATACCCTAATTTTAATTTATACTAGCTCAATTTCAATAATATGCAAAAATCCTCCTCCTTTACAACTCCACCTTCAGACCTTTTGGTTGTTGGTGTCACAAAATTGCATATTTATACATTGTGTGTACAAAACCCATAAATTAATCATTGTTTTGTATGAATTGGTCTTTGAAATTATGTAAAGATCCAAATCTGAAGTTGCAAGTCAAAGATACAGTAATACTAGCTTTTAGATTATTTGGCATAAATAATTTTTAAAAACATGTTGCTCTTCAAATACGTAGAAAACACAAAGTTAGAATTACTAAACATTGTTACAATAATATTAGATTTTAGAATTGCCCATGTATTTACCTGCATTTCTCCATACAACTCCAAGTTACTATCTAGTGTCCTTCATTCACCCAGAATGACTCTCCTGAGCATTTCTTGTAGGGCAGATCTAATAGTAACTAAGTTCCTCAGCTTTTGTTTACCTGAACTGTCCTATTCTCTACCTCACTGTTTTGTTTATGAGAACTGACCTCTTTTCTTCCCCACTCTTAAAAAACAGTTTTGCCAAATACAAAGTTCTTAGTTGACAATTTTTTTCTCATAGCACTTTGAATATATCATTCTGCTATCTTCTGATCATCAATATTTTTGATGAGAAATCTGCTGCTAATCTTATTGAGGACACCCTGTATATGATGAGTCTTCTCTGGCCACTTTAAGATTCTCTCTGTCTTTGAAAGTTTAATAATGTGTCTTGTTTTCATCTTACCTGGAGTTCATTGAGCTTCTTGGATGTTATACTCATGTTTTTCTTCAAGTTTGGGAAGTTTCAGCCATTATTCAAATACTCTTTATGCCCCTTTCTCTCCTATTCTCCTGGGATGTCCACAGATCCCTTAAACTCTGTTAATTTTTCCATTCTTTCTGCTCCTCAGGCTCAGTAATGTCCATTGTCCTTTCCTTAAGTTTATATATATATAATATATATTATAGTCATATATATCTTATATATTTTGTATATAATATAAATATATATAATATATATTTTATATCTTATATATTATATATATATATATATTGCCTGCTCAAACCTACCTCTGAATGTCTCCTGTGGATTTTTCATTTTAGTTATTGTGTTTTTGAGTTTCAGAACTTCTTTTTGGTTTCTTTTTAGCTTTTAGATCTTCTTATTGATAAATCTTTTTTGTTCATACCAACTATTCTTGACTGTCTCCACATCTCCCTTAAGTTCTTTGGCTATCTTTAAGACAGTTATCTTAAATCATTTGTCTAGTAGATCTGTCAGCAGGTGTTTTACAGGGACAGTTTCTATTGGTTTGTTTTTTCCCTTTTAATGGCGATATTTTCATAATTCTTTGTAAGCTTTGTGATTTTTTTTGTTGAAAACTGGACATTTGAATCTAATAGTGTGGTATCTCTGAAAATTAGATTCTTCTTCTCCAGGAGAGTCTAATTTTATTATATTATTGTTGTTGTTGTTGTTGTTACGGTTTTCAGCTGTGTCTGTACCTAGAATTAGCTTGAGGTATGACCTTTAGGCCATCTCAGCTCTTTTCTGAGTATGTTACTTTCTTTCCCTGGAAATGCACTTGCATTTGAATATCCTGGTCTTTTATGTCTGGTTCACAGAAGGTGAAAAAGAGAAAAATGACAGGGAGAAAAATTAAGGATGCAGACTCTTTAAATTACCTTAATGTTTCTTTTGGTAGACAAAGGAGGGCTTGGAGAGGAAATACGGCTAAGATTGTCTGCCTTTTTGTCTGCATTTCTGTGATCAGAAGTAGTAATCATGGATCAGAGCACAGGTCCCTAACAATTTTTGCTCACCCTGGCTGCTATAAGCTGAGTGCACGCGATGCAAGGTTGCCTGCCCAGGCAGAGAGTGGGAAGAGGGTTGCTGCTACTAAGGGCTAAAATTGACCAAACTTACCTGCAAATTGACCTCCAACTTCCCCTGAAAGTTACAAGTCTTCAATAGATTCTAGAGTTCCCAAATCTTTAGATCAAACAGATTGTGCCACTGTCATTGCTGTCTAGGTGGGAGAAGAGATTCCTGGTTTTCTTGCTAAGGTCATCTCTGGCACAAGAAACTATTTAGCTTTTCCTTTTCATTAAAAATATCTATCTAAATTAAATTTCTAGCCAGACCCCAAATCCATTATGCTCCTGAAACTGGAGCACATGGTGACATAAAACCTCTTCCACCACCACCAATAGCCCCTATTAGCATTTATACCTGGATAAATGAATTTCTGTGGTGTTGTACCTATGCAAATCAAAAGTGACAAAAGAGAGTGGAAAGTTTGCAGACCTTCAGATAAACTATGCACCTGTCAATGTACACAGGATGTGCCCAAGTCTTAAGTTTACATAAGCAAGATTTCTAAATTATACCCTCTGTGAAGACCTCACTGAATGTACAATGTTTCTGGCTGGAAAAGAAGAACTATATTGGTTTGTTTTTTTTTCAAATCTCTACCATTAGTTGCCTTTATCTCCGCCTTCTCCTTTGAGAGGAAACTATTTCCTACTTCTGTACACAAGTCTCTACCTCCAGATCTGTTGGGTTCGGTTGCTAAGAAGCCTGACACATCAGTGTACCCAGAAGAAACTATACTCTGGTGAGTTATGGGTGCTTTTTTCATTACCTTATGAATCGTAGACTCAAGGTATCCCAAGGCTAGAGATGCAGAGACTGGGAACCCCCTGAGGGACTCAGCCCAGGACCTGTGGTTAGTCAAAATGGGATAAGGGTGAGAGAGTGGGGAAGGCTCTGCACCAGAAATGTTAGCAAGACCCTGATGGCAGTGAGGGAGCTCAAAGCTGGGGGGAACACCTCCCAGGACTCCAGTGATAGGAGAGAGCTGCTGAAGAGGACAACTCAGAAAGGGAGGACTGTCCAGCTTCTGCATTACTGCTACCCTCACCGTGTTCCTCCCTGCTGAGAGGCAGCTTTCACGTAACTCTGAATGAGTCCTGATATCTGAATGTGATGCCTAAGCCAGTGATTTCAGCTGCCTTTCTAAGTTTCAGCTGTGGTAGGTGTGAGGTGTGCTGTAGTGACAAGGGAAAAGTGACAAAAGCGGAGGTGGCTGGTATCTGAGTGGCCAAGAGCACAGCAGTGAAAACACACATGGAAGTGGTAGGAGCAGCTGTCCCTCTTGGAGTCCCCCAAACGTGAGTCACCAGAGGGAGGATCAGGGCTGCATATTTCTGACAGATTCTGTGTGATACCAAAGCCCAGCAATTGAGAACCACAGAGCCTGCCCAGCTTCCCACGTGGATGAGATTAAGCCCTGTGGTTAATTACAGAACCGCCCAGAGGGCTTGCTGCCCGTGAGGGACTGTGTGCAAAGACCCCATATGTTAGTTGTAGAAAGTCTCCCCCTGGATTCCTTGGGAGTCTAGTCCACAGTGGAGTGTCTTATTCTTAGCCACTTGCAGTCAGGTAGTTCTCAATGATTCATTAATTCAATTCATAATTATTTAGCAGTCTCTGTGGCAGCCTTGGTACTGAGGCAACTCATTGCAAAGCAAAGATCTGTGTCTTCATGGAGTTTATTTTAAGGTGGAGGGGTGTGTGTGTGTGTGTGCTCACACATATGTGCATGTACACGTGCATGGGTGAGTGGGTGAGTCTGTGGAGTTTAAAGCTAAATACCAAAGAAGTGCTGTTCAAAATATGGGAGAATACATAGAAAATCTGTTGCCTGTTCCACATCCATCTCTGCTCTGAGAACCTGTAGATGGGGAACGCTGCAGCCCTTTGAAATTGAGTAGCAGAGATTTAAATTCCTGCTCAGCCATTAATTACTTGGTGAGTTGGGAAAGTTGCTTAATCTGCCCATGCTTCAATTTCTTCCACTTGTAAAATATGTAAAGAGTTACCTCAAAATTGTTATAAGGAGTAAATTAATGTATGCCAATTATTCAGCACAGCACCTAGAACTTTAGGAACATGCTAGTGATTATAGTTATAAATTCTTTGGGTGGATACTTTTTTTGAGGTTTTATTTAGTTGCGACAGATTTCATGAATCTGGCTCAGTGATGTGAAATGAAAAGTCTATGAAATGTTCCTATCACAAGAGAAATTTAAGAGTTAATTGTGTAGACACATAAAAACAAATTCACCATCACAACCAGAAAATTGAAAAAACATATCTTCTTGAGAATCAAGCCCTAATGATGTTAGGTGTCATACTCATTATTGTGAAGAGTTCTTGTGCATTCTTTCAGTACATCTACTGGTACCTCATCTAGCCAGGTGCTCTCATAAGAGCTGGAAATGGGGCTCCCTGGTGGCACAAGGGGTTAAGTCTCACTCAGCACTATGAAATTATTGGCAGGCACTGCAGCAGGAGTTCTATCCCTGGCCAGGGAGCTACCCACATGGCGCAGCTGACCTCTCCGGTCTCACCCTCTGCTCCTCTCAGCAGTGTATTTCAGTCAACCTTTCTGTTCTGCTCCCCACTCTATTTCTGGTGAATCTTCTCACCCCCACACCCTGCACCTCTGGCCTGCACCCTAGTTCTTGTATGCATAAATAAATAAATCTTAAAAAAAAGAGGTGGAAATAAAACTATGAACTTGTTGCTGACCTCAAGAAGCACGCAAAGTGTGTAAGACAGTGTGACCTGTGCTTAGTCACATACAGTGTTATGTGATCAGAGTGACTGTTAGAAGAGGCAAGTCACCCTTCACAGAAAAGGAGAAGGTATTGAAGGATGTATAGGAGCTTGCCGGTCACCTTAGGCAGAGGGGCAAGCATGTGTAAGACCATGGAAACATGAAGGAAATCAAGATTTGGGGGGAAATGGAAGGAGATGGTTATAGCTGGAGCACAGGGTCTGGGATTTGAGAAGTGATTTTGTTGTACATTGTCGGCCAAGTTCCTGTCTCGTGTCACAAAAAAGTAAGGACACGTACCACAAGGAGTGAGTTTTTAAAAGTTTGTTCAGCAAAAGGAGGAAAGCTCCCTGTCATCACAGGGAGTGGGATCCCCAAGCAAGTATCCCTGAAATGCTCACACCTAGGGTCTTTTTTTACCAAATATAGCCCACAACGGGGCTTTCTCTTTTGAATACACCCAGGGAGGTTGCTTGCTAAAGATTAGCACACGCGCAGTTAGAAACACGGGGAGCTCGCTAGAGATGAACGCACCCAGCTCAAAAACATGGGGTCATCTCCCCATCCCTTCCTTCTCTCCTCCTATGGGGCATTTTCGGCTGTCTCCTGCTTACAGGTGCAGAGCCTATAGTTTTCCACTCTCCGATAATTTTTTTCACTCTCCATGGGCCCTCTACCTTGGATGCCTAGCCAGAATCTGTCTCATTTGGAGGGAGGCTGAGAAGAAATCAGCTTAGGAAAGGGCTGGTGGGTGAGCTGGGCAGTGCCTTGGAGGTCCCATCACATACAGATCATGAGGCTACCGGAGGTTTTAAGCTGACCAGTGAATGACCCGATTTCAATTTTCAAGAAAGCTGATTGAAAGGCAGTATGACTAGGAACGTCACGGGCAAATGAAAAACTACAACAAAGTCAGAAGTGAAAGGCATAGAAGGCAAGAGAGTGGCAGTTGAAAGGGGCACAGAGGGCAAGATCTGAGAGCATCCGCAAGGTAGGATTTGCATGATGCAATCGTGTCAACGCAGGGCATCACTGTGCCACGTGGCGCTGTCCTTGTCTCCACTGACCTGCACAGCAAATCAGCTTGGCTGATATTTTATACATAGAGAAACTGATAGTTGAAGAAGTAATGAGGCCCAAATTACACAACTTGTAGGTAGGAGGCAGGATTCAAATCCAGGTCTGTTTAGCTCCAAAGTTCTGTTACTTAATCTTCTGAAAAGGAGGAGACCCAGGTTAAGGATAAGACCTGTGTCTCAGGTAATGGCACAATTGACAGTAACCAAGACAAGGAATCCACAAGTTGGAATGAGTTTCTGGGGGTGTTTATGTTGATTGGGTTTAATTGAGGGTCCCATGTTGTACCCACCTTACTCACTGCTATGTCTCCAGTGCCTGAAACAGAGTCTGGCTCACAGTAGATGCTCAATGCATATTGTTAAATGAATAAATCCACTAGGAGACAAGCAGCAGGCAATGGAAAATTCAGCTCTAAGGTATAGAGAGTGGAGGTGAGAGTAGAAGATGGAACTTGAGGAAGCACTAGCCACAGGAAGCCCTGAAATGAGGTAGCACAGTTCAGGAAGAAGTTTGGGGCAAGAATAAAGTGATAAAAAGTGAAAAGATCAAAGTCCAGGAAGGTGCTGGGTACTCTGACAGTGTGGTTGGGGGCGGAGGCATCAATGGAGGAGTACTACAGAATGGCGACCCAGCAGCAAGCTTCTGAAAACCGAGTTTTCAGTGGAAGAAATTCACTAAAGGATAAAATGATTGATGAGGATGAAACTGGAAGGAAGCCACAGCATTTTAGAAATTGGGTCATCCTTGTGGCATTGGCAAGGGAAGTTTTGGCAGGATGGCAGAGACAGAAAATGAAGAAGTGTCCCCATTAGAGCACTTTGGGCTGCAAACAATAGAAAATGCAACTCAAATGGCTTAAAATAGGGATTTCTTCTTTCTCCAATAACAAAAAGTCAGAAGATGGGCAGCTCAAGGGTGGGTTTAGGACTTGGTGTTTCTGAGATTCTGCTTAGTTTTGCCCCCATTCTCTTCCATTCCCAAATACCAAGCCTTCGCCAGACAAGCTTCAACCACCCAAGGTACTGCCAGGGCCCCTCATGCATTGCTCTTGTCAGAGAAGAGCATTCCAGAGCCCACGTAGTAGAGTCCTTTGTATATTATTGTTAAGAATGGGTCACGGGCTGTGCACCAGCTGCAGAGGAGGTGGACAAAGTGAGCAACCCCCATGTTTCGCCTCCCCATGCATATCAGGATCATGGGGAAGGCCAAGCTCTTGGGAAGTGACTGGTGGACAGACGACTGGCCTCTCCTCCCAGGAAGAATGGGAAGCAATAAACTAGCACATAGGCTTCCACAGAGCTGGCTGCCAGGGGAAGACCAAAGACAAGGTTAGTGCTTAAATGGAGCGAAGGCGTTCTGAGGTCCAGATTGCAGCACTGAGGTTGTAGTTATGTTCCTTGTATGTCATCCTTTTGTTCTCTGTTTACAGAGCAGGGAGATGGCAGATAATATGATTGCCCAGTTCAACTATGTGCTGTCCACAGCTAATTCTCTGTTGACAATGAATAGTATAGAGAACGATGAAGAAATCACCACCACATTTGAATACGAAGATGGCATCGAACCCTGCCGAAAAACCAACGTGAAACAGATGGCGGCTACACTCCTGCCTCCACTCTACTCGCTGGTGTTCATCTTTGGTTTTGTGGGTAACTTGCTGGTCGTGCTCACCCTGATAAACTGCAAAAAGCTCAAGAGCATGACCGACATCTACCTGCTCAACCTGGCCATCTCTGACCTGCTGTTCCTCCTCACCATCCCGTTCTGGGCTTATCACGCTGAGCATGAGTGGGTCTTAGGGAATGTGATGTGCCAGCTGTTCACAGGCCTGTATCACATCGGTTATTTCGGGGGAATCTTCTTCATCATCCTCCTGACAATCGATCGGTACCTGGCTATCGTCCATGCTGTGTTTGCTTTAAAGGCCAGGAAGGTCAGTTTTGGGGTGGGGACAAGTGTGATCACCTGGATGTTGGCTGTGATCGTCTCTCTCCCAGGAACCCTGTACACCAAAGCCCAAAAAGAAGACAATGGTATCTCCTGTGGCCCTTATTTCCCATCAGGATTCAAGGCTATCCATACAATAATGAGGAGCGTGTTGGGCCTGGTCCTGCCACTGCTCGTCATGATCATCTGCTACTCAGGAATCCTAAAAACGCTGCTGCGGTGTCGAAATGAGAAGAAGAAGCACAAAGCAGTGAGGCTCATCTTCGCCATCATGATAATGTACTTTCTCTTCTGGGCTCCCTACAACATCGTCCTTCTCCTGGACACTTTCCAGGAGCCCTCTGGCCTGAGTAACTGTCAGAGCACCAGCCATCTGGACCAGGCCATGCAGGTGACCGAGACCCTCGGGATGACGCACTGCTGCATCAACCCCATCATCTACGCCTTCATCGGGGAGAAGTTCAGAAGCTACCTCTCAAGGTTTTTTCGAAAGCACATCGCCAAACACCTCTGCAAGCAGTGTCCAGCTTTCTATAGGGAGACAGCAGATCGAGTGAGTTCAATGTACACTCCTTCCACTGGGGAGCAGGAAGTCTCAGCTGGTTTGTAAATGAGCAGCAGTTTTTTTGTTCTCTTAGAGGGAGATAACAATCTACATGTGATGGTAAGCCTCAAGGGTTAATTGAAGAACAGAGACCTGTACATTCTAAATTGCGCAGGAACCTCAGGGTTATATGTAGCAAGACATACTCATGTCCTTTCTTGGATAGCTGACATGTGCTCAGGGAACATTCCAGAAAAATGGTGGGTAGAGTCTTTGACCCACCACCAAGTTCAATTCCTGGAGAATGCCACATTGCCTTGCACTAATGCTCTATTGTATCTAATGTCCAGTCTTCATCAAGTCTTCACTTACTCTCTGGTTTGATCAATGTCTTTAATAAAGGGCTCAGTTGGACATAGGGAGGAGAATGAGAGAGGCATGGGGGTGGGGAGTGAGGGTGAGAAGGGTCAGCCAAGTGTAAGGAGGAGGGAGGCCTGAGAACACTGAGCCTGTATGAGGATGCAGGCAAGGGCCCACTCCTTCAGCCAGAAAGCAGTGCTGCCCTTAGCCCACCCCCCACCCATACTTAAACCAGTAGGTGTCACCAGACCATGAGAGCTTGGAAACTGTACTAACTCTCCAGGAGCTTTGGTTGGGTTCCATGATCTCCTTCCCAGTCAGTGCATGACACACATGTGCTTTATTATTGTTTATCTGTGACAACAACACTCCCTACATTTGAAATCCGTTAAATATCACACCCCATTGTTCATATGCTTCTAAGACCACACCCACCTATATAAAAACAAAAATTTTGTTTATAAAATATGTGCAATCTCATAAGATGGAAAAAAATTAAACCCTGGTTTGGCCTTTCCAGAGAAAGGGGAGAGTTGGAGACAGTGGTTATGAGAAAAGCGTGATGACTGTTGAGTTCCCCCCCGGGCGGGGGTGGGGGGAGCATCATGGTAAGAGCACAGGAGGGCATGAGAGTACTGCAGGGGTGTCTCCAGAATCAGCTGAGAGACCAGCAAGGATGCATCTGAACCCCAAAAGTCCTGCGTCTCCAGGTCTGATCTGTTTGTTTTCTTGTTACCCTACCTCCTTTATCACCTAACTCTTGCCTACTCCAAAAATCAGTTTGTAGAAGTCCAAGAGAATAGATTTGGGGGAAATTGGAGGAAACAATGCCACAAGAGCCCTGGGGTGGGCCCTGGAGAGGCAAACAATCCATTAGGGCCTTGAAGTGTGTCCTTAGGACAGAGGAGGGACCTGGAGGTGTGTCAGAGGACTGTGTAAATTTCCAGGTCAGTGGGCCCAGGTGAGGAAGACTCTAGATGGGTTGGAATAAATGCTTTCCAAACTATCTTTCCAGCACCAAGTTTTGGGATTAGGCATAGATTCAGATTTTTTGTAATACAATGTAAAAATAAATTTAAGCTGGAAATTGCACCCTGCAAATGTGGCAAAGTATCCTTTTAAGAGTTGCGGTTAAGCCAAGCCTGAAAATGCTGTATTAGTCATAGCAACAATTTTGGTATTGAGTTCAAAACTCTGGAACATGTCTTCATGTTTGGAAACTGCCGATTCAGCATTAGTAGTTGCTGGTCACAGATTGGAGCTCCGTGGCTGGTGGACCTGCTAACTCCCGGTGACCCCATCACAGCACACGCCCCACAACTGTCGTCCTGACTGCGTCTTTATTCTCTCACACTTTCACAAAAAATATTGTTTGGTATCCTTGTAAAGTCATGTATTTAACCATATTTGAAGCTTCAGTGCTTTGCAGATATACTTGTTCATGCTCAAATTGCCCCTACTTTGGAAACTACTAACCAAAGACTTTAGCCCCCTCTGCTGTGGAGGGGAGCTGCAGAGACTCACCTAAGGAAGCAAATCATTTCTTGTTGGTTGAGCCAAGTTCAGAAGAACATACCTGTTACACCCAGTGCCTTTCTGATCGGAGGCAAGTAACACAGGCTCTGGCATCTGGCAGCTGGGGAGCTGGAACTTGCATGGTTTACTTCTAGCCTGTGGCTAGGGAAGGTTTCAGAAGGAAGTGTGTGCTGGGTCGGGCAATGCTTCATCTTCTCAGGCATATATTCTCCCAATGAAGGCATGACATTTTGATGATGATGATGATGAATGTAAATATTGCTTTTGAAGAAAAAGAAAAACTACAACCTGGAAAATGACTCGATGTTCTTACAATATTGTTTTTAAGAAAGAACTGTCAACTCTCCCATTTCCTTCCTTCACCCTCTGGCAACCATCTTGCTGTTCTTTCTAACTGCCAGTTGGACTGTTTCAGTATGGCTGTGCAGTCATGCAGTATGCGTCCTCCTGAGACTGCTGATTTCATTTAGCATAAGGTCCTCGAGGTTCATCTGTATTGCCACATGGGGGGATTTTCTTTTTTAAGGCTAATATTCCACTGTATGCATATACCACATTTTCTTTATCCATGTATCAATGCCAAAAATTCCTGTTAAACAAGTTATGCTATAAATATCTGCTTTGCAACATTGTGCTTGTATGTAAAGATACTGCATGGTAGATTTAAACTACCTGCTAAGAGCCTAGCTCTCAGTCATGTTCTTATCACAATAAAAATAATAAAAGCACTGCCAATTTTGTTAGACTGTGGTGTGATGGATAGTCTTATTGTTCACACACCTTCCCTGTATGATCACACACCTCTGTCCTCACCCTGTGACTTATAGGGTGTGCAACAGGTGGAACACCCTATCCCACACACAGGCAGCTGGGCCAATAGAAAGTGGCCTCTGCATTGTCTGAGCCGAGCCTTCACCGAGGCAGGCTGAGCCTCTGGCTCCCCCAGCTCAGCCACAGGATGGCCACTCCCCAGACTCTTCAGCCTGGTGAGCGGACAAGGAGACACTGAGAGCGGAGCCAGGGCCCCAGCCACAGGCAGCCATAGGCAGCCACATGCACCAGGAGAACGAGGTCTGTGTTTGCTGCTTTAATCCATCAAGCCGCTAAAGCACAAAAGCTCACTAATACACATGGTATCCAGTGACCAAATAAGTAAAACGGGAAAGTGGACAATTGTTTTTCCATCATGGATTTAATGTGCCAAACACACTGGAGGACCTACTATGTGGCCCCCGAGAGAAGGATATGTTCGTGCCCACGTCCAAGGCTCATGGGGAGGTGGGGGGCAGTTAGGAACCCAGTATTCAGAAATCGCAATATGCCGTGCAGAGCTGTATGTGAAAAGTTTGAGAGCAAGGAGAGTGTGACTAACTCAATGACAATCCTCTAATGTAAGAATAACTGCAGTCTGGTTTTATGGCCCTCAAGGAACTTGCCACTTCAAAGTTGCCAACCGTCTATTTCTAGAAGTAGAAACCTCAAGTCTCTTTTATTCCAGGGAGAACACCTGCATGAGCTGTTTGTGTTAAGCAGATCGCCGTTCTAGGGATGGAGTCTCTTATGACTTGGTGGAGCTGGGGCTCACCAGCCCGCCTGTGCAGGGCTCCTTGGTCCGGGTGCTCAAAGCCATTGGGGAGGTTTGAGCATTTTTTGAGAAGGCTGCAGGATCCTGGGAGTCAGCCAGCAAGACCCCATCTTCCCACTTTTGCTTTTGCTCATTATTAAAATTGAAATGGCCCCAGCTGAGATTAGTCACCAGGAAGGCCACCTAAGGCCGCTATGGAGAAACTGCTGTGAAGGAAGAGGCGTGTGGGCTGGGAGCTAGTTTCTACAGCGCAGCCCCTAAATTTAGGGGAGGGCTGGCCTGGGTGTGCTGAGGGGCTGAGGGTAGAAACTTCTTCAGACATCAACACTTTGGCATCCTATTTGCAGCTTCGGCAAAGTGTGTGTGTGTGTGTGTGTGTGTGTGTGTGTGTGTGTGTGTGTGTGTGTGTGTGTGTGTAAGAGAGAGAGAGAGAGAGAGAGAGACAGAGTTACAAAGGGTTTGTAACAAAAGGGGCCTTGGCAGCCCCCTCCTGGGGCCTAGTCAGATCCAAGCCAAGGATTCTGAGGAGATAGGCCTCTTCCTTGAACCGCAGGAGAAGCTCTGCCAGTCCAGCAGCCTGGTAAGCAAATATCAGGGCATTGAACAGCCTCTCAATTTGTACCACCATCCATAACCCTCATAACATAAGCAGTTTGCAATATGAATTTCTCTCCAGTCTTTTCAGCTAGGGCCAAGGTTGGCTGGGTCCTGGAGGCTGCGCCCACAGCAGGGGTATATCCTGTTCTCCACACCCTCCCGCTCCCCCTCCCCAGCCCTTGGTGTGGTCTTCACCTCCCTCTTCTTGCACAGGGTGGTGCTGAGAAGAGGGCAGGAGGGTTAGAAAAAGGAGCAAATGCATCTTTATCCAACTGCCATTGCCATCATCCACTGTGTGTGGGTCAAGCAGCCCAGAGGGACAGGCACGTTGAAGAGTCCCCTGAAGAGTCCTCAGATGGTCTCAGGGTGACAGGGGCTCCCCAACTGCTACTCCCTTTGGCAGAACTTCTTTGAATCTGCCATCCACTGGCTGCTGGAATCACCTTCCACACCGGGTGGGACCCAGAGGGACATGTCCAGCCTAACGACTACCTGTGTGGTCACTTGGCACAGGGGTGCTCTCACAGCCAGGGGACACTTGCTGTCTCACTGCCATGCCTGCTCCAGCACCCTCTCTCCAGCCTCCTCTTATCCTGCCCAGTGCTGTGCTGGTAGATGCCCTCCCCAGGAATGAGGTGCTGGCCTCCCCTTCTCGCACACCCCTTCCTCACATGATTCTCTCAGAGCCCTCCCAATTGGCTTTGAGCCCTCCCTTCTCCCCATCTTGTCTCCTTACACAGGGAGGGGTGGGAGGAGCTGGCTGACGCTGTCACTCTTAGCCCTGGAGGAGGTATCTGGCCCAGGTGTCAGTGGTTTTCTTCATAGCTACAGGACACTTGACACCTCTTTGCACTCACCCTTAGCCGTAGTTGTCAGTTCTGGGGCAACAGGAAAAGTCCCATAATATCCTGTTATGCACAGAGCTGAGGTGTGATCTGAGCCACTGGAGGTCACAGTGGCTTGATGGGGACCCTAGACTCTGTCACTGCACCTACAATGGCCCTTCTCCCAAGGCTGGGCACTGATCTGAAAGAAATACCCGAAACACATAGAGCAGACTTTGCAACTGGCTTAAGGGGTTCCCAACGTGCCTGGACATATCTAAGGACGTGATGGAATGGACCGCCTGCGATGTCAACTTGGTATGATGGCTTGTATGGGCCGTGGGGGGTGGGAATAAGGGTTATACTGGGAAGGGTCTAGAAGACAGAGACAGAGGGAGTGACCTCCCAACCCTGCCCATCCACTAAGATCTGTGTCAGAGGCAGAAGGCGAAGGGTTCTGGATGTCATGGAAGCCAAGCATCGCTGTTGAGACACACAGGGGACCAAGGTGACATGGGCGGGGAGCATTTTCTTCCAGGGATTCTCCTGGTGAAGCTGGCCTTAGGAGTTTCCTCTCTGGCGGGCAGTCAGAGCACTGACGGCCACACCCAAACACACTGTTCATATCACTGAACAGTGGAGAAAACCCCACTGTCTAGTAACAGGGCTCTCTGTCAGCTAGCGCTGTGGCATCATGTTGAGCGGAAGAAGCCAGACACAAGAGGATGGTGTCTGTGGTGTCAAAGAAGGAGCACATGTGATCCACGATGGCAAAAGTCTGAGAGCTCTTGCCTCTGGGCAGGATGCAAGGGCACCTTCAGGGGTGAGAAGCCCATTCCCTGTCATCTCAGTCCACGTGGAGGTTACAGGCAGGTGTGCTTATCACAACCAAGCCACCAATCCAGCACACATGAAGTTAAACCCCAATTTAAAAAATCAATTAAGGAAATATATTTAGAAAGAAAATTTCAATAACATGGGGAAATGGCTATACTGTAATCTTTAGCAAAAAAAAAAAAAAAAAAAAAAACCAACAAAACCAGCATATGTGAGAGAACCAGTCATCTAAAGTAATCTGGGAAAGGTCTGGGTTGAAAGTCATCATGGGTCAGGAGGGATGGTGTGAGTTTGAGAGAATGGGCCTGATGTTGATCTACTTTCGATTTTTCTGTTTTTCCTAATTTAGGACAATGTGCTTGTTTCATTTTATAATTAGACGTTTGTCTTTAAGCCATTCATTTAAAAGCCACACTGGTGTTTTTGCAGCCTGTTTCACTGCTGGCTGAGGTTGACCAGAGGCCACTCAAGTCCCAGGCATTTTCAGATGAGTGCCTGTGAGGCAGGGCTTCAGCTCAGTGTGCTCATGTATCGGCTGTTGATGCCAAGAACTGACATTCCTCTTGATGCTCTCCATCCGCAGGTGATGCTGAGTTTAGTGCAGGGATGGCGTGGGCGATGCAGCCCTTGGAGCGTGAGGGTGGCGGCTAAACATGGAGCAGCAGGTAAAAGCTGGCCAGATCCCCTGGGGAAGACTAGGGTGAGACACCCTCTAGGATGAGCATCTAGTCCAGAGAGACAGTGTAGAGCTGCATAGATGAGAGCAAAGCCCTGCAAACAGGGCAGGGAGAGGGAGGAAGAGAAACAGGGACATGCAACTAAGTCACAGCAGGATAAACTGTGGGTTTGTTGTTGTTGCTCAGAATAATGTTTCATCGATTAAATGCAAAGAAGTCCCTGTGGTCCTCACCTCCTCCTGCATTCTTGAGATGAACTCCTAGTCCAAGAGGTTAGCTGAACACACCTCTGGACCCAGGAACCTGGGAGGAAACAGTGAACCTTGCTGAGTTGTTCTTCCTCACTTCAACCTGTGAAGACTCATCCTCATGCAGCGGGCATTTTCCAAAGCAATTTGGCCATGATGTCATTGAGTATTTAAGGTGGGAGCTGCCTGCGGGACCCCCAGGGCTAGCACAGCACTGGACTGAGGAGAAAATGGAATCTCAGAGGGAGAAGTATCTGATGAGGGCAGACACTTGTCAGCCAGAGTCTGGTGACTCAGTGCCTATTAGACTATTCCACACTGCCCTCTGGGGGCAAGTGTACTGGCATGTCCTCACCCAGAACAGGACAAAGCCCAGTTCCACAGGAAGAAGACATCGTCACTTACAGAAGCAGAATGCTTATCCAGCCACACCTGAGTGTTTTCACATGTGTCTTGTCTGGGAACACAAGGCCATTCTTGAAAGAATCAAAACTGTATGTATGTGTCCTGTTTTTAGTGGAATTGTATATTAACTGACTTGCTACCCATCTTGTGAGCTCTTTCTAAAGCACAATTACCTCCCCACTGCTTCAGGCCTGAGAGAGACAGCAAGTGTCTGCAAAAGTCTCTGCACACATTATATCGTTTGATCTTGACCACAGACCTATAAGGTTTGTGTTTGGGTGTTTTTGTTTTTCTTATTTTATTATTTTTGCTTTCATTTCACAGATGTGAAAACTAAGGTCTGGGGAGTTTCAATAATATATTCAGAGTCAGGAAATAGTGAAGCTTGGGCTCAAACCCAGCCGGATGACTGCAGAGTCCCATTCTTAATTGTTCCCTCTTGAACGTCTCTTTCAAGATTCACACTCCAGGTTATGACGACCAGCATTTAGGCTCTGTTGTAACACACACCGATGCCCCTTGATGGGTGGCTCTTGGTCGCTTGGCAATTTCTGTGCTTCTCTGTCCCCCAGGAGTCACTCGAGTCCCAGGCATCTTCAGGTGAGCGGCTGTGCCAGGGCTGAAGCTCCAGCCATCAGTTTCACCCTTTCAGCTTCCAGTTGATGGATGCTAATCTGCTCTAGACAAGGACCCCAGGAAACCATTTTTGTTAGAATTTTAGAAAGTAAATTCTCTAACAAAGGGTCAATGACCAAGTAATAGACAGTTTGATGTTTACTGAAGGGATAATGTGCTCAGGTCTGGATGTGCACACCTCACGCAACCCTCCATGAGGCAGCCCAGTCCATCCCGCAGACGAGAGAGCTGAGGACAGGACACTTCCATCAGCAAGAGCCACGGCTCAGTCCCTGTGTTAGGTGCCCCCAAATGTTTGGAGTCTCTGTAGCCTTCACCTAGATCGCAAGCCCGCTCTTCTTGTTCTAGAGAGCAGAAACCGAAACACCCAGAGGGCCCTCTTGTGGCTCAAGGGGCTCTCGTGTGTTCTGTCAACACTTTAAGTTTAGATAAGTAACCAACCACCAAGAAAGCTTGGTATGACAGCATGCAGTGTGCTACTGACAGAATTCTCAATTTGACCCTATTCTTCAGTCAATTGTTACCCATTTCATGTTGGAAATTTCTCAGAGCTCTTGGTAGGTTGTATCGTGTGGTGAGGCTCTCGGCCGCCAGCACCTGTGGCATAGGGCAAGCTCTCTTCAATGCCTACTGGTTTGGAAGGCTGCAAAATAGTGAGTCGGTAGAGTGAAAATTTGTAATGATACGTCCCCGTGAGATACCTGATCCAGAGAAAGACGGGCAGTGTTTAGCTCCCAGGTGAGCCTGTAGTTAAAGCCCTCTGGGCAACCCACTGTTGTAGTGTGCCAGGAGAAGCTGCAGTGGGTGAGAGGTATATTTACGTGAGCTGCGGCGATAAGACAGATGGGTAGACGGGATGAAGAGGAGCATGGAGTGAACCAAATGTTTCCCTCTCAATTTAAAGTGCATTTGAGTTGACTTTTATTGAGGACAGGTAGTAAATGAATCAGAACTTCTCATGCAGTACACTCCTGACACAACTTCTCAATTTCATTACCATTTGATGTAATTAATTCTCCAGCCCATTTTAAGTTCAATTTAAAAAAAAAAAAAAGAAACATCTCTGGTTTTAGTTTTCCCCTAGCATTAATGTATTCATGCAGTCTCCGCCTCCTCCTTTTAGAAGAAACTGCATTTCCTACTGTTAATGCTGTCTGAGTGCTACATTGCTCAGCTGTGTTGATCAGAGGAGCTGAGACATCCAACCCCCTACATGAACACTCTTGGTAAGTATCCTCTCAGCTGCTCTGCCTATTAGTTCCTCTTCTGGGATGAGTAAAAGCCTTGCCAGGAAACCCATAGAAGACACTTGGCAAATACCAGGAGCTCAGACAACTCTCTGAAAATGTAATCTTTAAAAAAAACTCTTTGAGATAAAGAAAGAGTCAGAATTTTGAATGAGCATCAGAGTGTGATAAGATCAAAGTTACAGAATGTGTTATGAATGAAAGATGTTAAAGGGAGCAATATTATCATTTGGGAAGCCTCCACTTTCAAAAGAAAGATTTTCAGAGAGATGATTTTTCATGAAATCTTGGCAAAAATTGATGTCCTCTGAAATGGTCTCTGAGGCTGGCTGGCTGGATGGTTAGTTGGTTTTTCCCAGAAAAGAGGGAAGCCTGAAGAGTGTCCAATTAATATCAATTAATAGCAAAATACAAATATCAAATAAAGTTTCCCTTTATAAGCTAACCCTGGTGAGACATTTTCTACTTGGCCACTTCTGGGTATGGGAGCTCTTATTCAAAGCAACTCAGGAGCTAGAAACAAGCTGCAGGGAAATGTGAGGGCAGCAGTTGGAGGTGACCACTGACAACAGGTTCCCCTGACCATTTGGGGAAGCTGGGCACCAGCCCATTTCATTCTAACTACCTGGAGTTGCCAGGCTGCTGGCTCTGCTCTTAGGTCTCTTAGGAGTGAGACAGGGTAGATGGTGGAGAGGAGGGAGGTCTGTGTGCCACTGTTCAAATTACTCATCCTCTCTGTGCCTTGAGGTCTTTATCTGTAAAATGGGGAGAGTAACATGATCTGCCTATGGGTCACCTTGAGGATTAATTGGGTGAATGGATATGAAGCTTAGACCTGTGTTTGGCAAGTCCAGTGCCCTTGGGGACCTGGACTTGATTGATTGATTGCTGGGGGCACACGTGTGAGGATGTTCTTGCTGCCTCAGGTGGGGGGAAAAGAGGGTAGTCACTTCCACACAGATTTTAAGACCATGTGGGACAGTTCTTGAAATTTGTATTTTTATGAGGATGAGCTCATGAATTTTCCCAACAGAGCCAGATTCTCACCTGGCTAGGAAGCTAGCAGTGAGCCCACCCTGCACTCCAAAGGGTCATCACTCAGCAAAAAAAAAAAAAAAAAAAAGGGAGTTCAGTTAAATGTGGAAAATCTGTTTCCATTCTAAGACCTGTTAATCTCGAAGATGGTTTGCATTCATGGTAGTGGCAAATTCCTTTAAAAAAGGAATTCTTTATAAAAGATCACTTTTCCTTTATTCACAGGGTGGAACAAGATGGATTACCAAACACCAAATACAACTGATTACTCTTATTATGACATGCCAGAACCCTGCCAAAAAACCAGCGTGAAACAGATCGGGGCTGCACTCCTGCCTCCACTCTACTCGCTGGTGTTCATCTTTGGTTTTGTGGGTAACTTGCTGGTTATGCTCACCCTGATAAACTGCAAAAAGCTCAAGAGCATGACCGACATCTACCTGCTCAACCTGGCCATCTCTGACCTGCTGTTCCTCCTCACCATCCCGTTCTGGGCTTATCACGCTGAGAATGAGTGGGTCTTAGGGAATGTGATGTGCAAGGTGCTCACAGGCCTATATCACATCGGTTATTTCAGTGGAATCTTCTTCATCATCCTCCTGACAATTGATCGGTACCTGGCTATCGTCCATGCTGTGTTTGCTTTAAAGGCCAGGAAGGTCAGTTTTGCGGTGGGGACAAGTGTGATCACCTGGGTAGTGGCTGTGCTCGCCTCTCTCCCAAGAATCATCTTCACCAAGTCCCAAAAAGATAGTCGTTATACATGCAGCCTTTACCTCCCATCTAATGACTTTCATTTCTGGAAGAAGCTCATTGCATTAAAGATATTCATCTTGGGCCTGGTCCTGCCACTGCTCATCATGATCATCTGCTACTCAGGAATCCTAAAAACGCTGCTGCGGTGTCGAAATGAGAAGAAGAAGCACAAGGCAGTGAGGCTCATCTTCGCCATCATGATAATGTACTTTCTCTTCTGGGCTCCCTACAACATCGTCCTTCTCCTGAACACCTTCCCGGAGTCCCTTAACCTAAATAACTGCATTAGCTCTAATAGGCTGGACCAGGCCATGCAGGTTACAGAGACCCTCGGGATGACGCACTGCTGCATCAACCCCATCATCTACGCCTTCATCGGGGAGAAATTCAGAAGCTACATCATGAGGTTTTTCCAAAAGCACATCGCCAGGAGGTTTTGCAAACACTGTCTCATCCTCCAGCAAGAGGCTCTGGAGCGATCAACCTCAATTTATTCCCAATCCTCCATCAAGCAGGAAATCTCCGTGGGCTTGTGACCTAGGCTCAGTTCTTAGACACAGCCTAACTTTATTAGATATTTTAATTAGACATCAATTCTGGGAAACCTGATCACTGTATGTTGATGAACAGCATCTCTCTCCTCCATGTACCTTAATTTATTGGCAAAGTCTCTCTTCACTGCCAAAGTTCATTATTTCTTTAAAACTCCTCAGAGACTTGCTGATTCATGAGTTGACTTACCTGAGCAGGAATACCAAAATTAATCAAGACACACATTGGTGGTTCCCTACCTGTGAGGGCAACGTACAGGTTGCAAATGTGCTTCAGATGTGCTTGTCTTGCTGTGGAGAGAAAAGAGATGAATGTGATCAGTTACCTGATGACACCTTCCACACGTGATCTCCCCTCCAAGCTGTGGGTGTTCAGGACCCACGAGAGCCCTGTGGCCTGGCCAGCACTGGCAAGAATCTTCAACTGGCCGTTTGAAGTGCCCTATTGGCAGGGGAGGGGAGAGAAGATGAGCTCAGGCTTCAGGAGCTGGGCCTGGAAAGACACGTGACTGGTTGGGGCTGGGGCCCCAGGTTGGTCAGAGACCCTCAGCAGAGCAGGGAGCCCTGGCCAGGCTGCAGAAAGCTCATTCCAGAGAATGACCTGGGAAGGTGAGTGTTTAAGGCAAGGAGACCAGCAACAAGCAGTCGGTATGTGGGGCCTCCACTAGCTGGAGGCCCCAGAATGGGAACGAGGGCTGTCTTCTCATATTTGGGATGAGCTCTTCAGCAGAATTTGAGGTGGATTGGGGTTGAAAGTGAGGGGCAGGGGCGTCAGAAATCGCTCCTAGCTTTCAAACGTGCAGACTGGAGATGGCCTAAAGAGACTTAGAACTTGGAAGGAGGAGGAGGGTTAGATCCAAACCAGGAGGGGCTAGTGGCAGAGGAAGGCCGTTTTGTGAGCTTGACACAGGCCCTCACAGACAGGCCCTGGGCTGTCTCCCCTTGCCCTCAGAGCCCTGCTTCCTGTCCCCTCAAATGATGAGCCCCTCCAGGGGCCTGAGTGGATAGTGGGGGGATCAGAGGTCTCAGGGCCTGAGGCACTAGAGGCAGAACTTGAGGTCTTGTAGCACCAAAAGGTCAAACCTGAGAACTGGTTGAGGGTTACAAAATCAGTGAAAATCCAGAGCTTTATGAGCATTAAATAAAGAGACCCGGTAGAGGCAGAGCGGCTCCAGTGATTGCCCTGGGCATGCCGCAATTGACCCATTTCCTTCTGGATTTACGTAATGACAGGCAAAGGTGAGAAGCTTCATATTCATTTAGAAACAGGCCACCTAGAGATTTATAAGACACAAAAAGTCCAACTTCTCAACCTCCTTGTTAGATACTCCCAGATGTCTTCTCCAGACAAATCAAACCCAAACACTAAGGAATTTATTCATTTCAAAGAGAGAGTTATGATTTTGTATGTGTGCAGTTTTATTTTGCAGTAGCTGAGATTGTTTCCAATTTGGGGGTAGAGAAGACCATTGTAGTAAACATTAGGTGGGGAACATAAAGGAGTGAGAATCACCCAGTAAATTAAGGTGTCAGAATAACAGGTGCTTCTGATTTTACTCAAGCTCTGAAATATGAAACTTGAGGGTTGTGGTGTCGGTGGAAAGCGGGTGTCAGTGCTTTGTCTTTTGCTCTTAAAGTTGTTGAGAGCGTTTGAGTAGCATGTAACCTTGGCCTCTGGTTCAATTCAAAGGGTCTGATAACCTTGTGCATGTACACGTACATCAGACATGCATCATGTGTATACATGTACATAGCCTTACGTATATATGAATTTACGAAGTGCTTGGAAGAAAATAAGTGTCTAATAAAACCCAAACTCTAAAGTAATTGATTGTATTCTTGTTCTTTCACTCAAGTATACATTTAGAGAAGAGCATGCAAAACTGGGAGAGCATTTTGAAAGTAGCTTTTGGAGAAATTTTCATTCACACACATACTGAAAATTGTACTTCTATTTTAATGTTGTGCATTTGAAGTTACAATGTTGCAATTTTCAATGCAGCAGGAGCCTCTCCCAAGTTCAGATGGCCAGACGAATTTGTAAAGATGCTGCCTCCAAAGGCGGAATTTTTGAATCAGTGAGCCTGAAATGTTCTAAATTTCAAATTTCATTCTACTGCTCAAACAGAAGAATTGACTTTTTGAAAAAAAAAAAAATTGATGAGTGTTTAAGCATAGGTCAAAGGATGGTACTTGAAGAAGATGCAGACCAGCATGCCTGGCCTGGCATCCTCAGTTGCACACACCCAAGGCATGAGGATGAGGTTGGTGGCACTAAAGCTTGTTTTTCTCCCAGTTAAATCCCTCCCCAAACTTGGCTGTAAATGAACACAACAGCAATTATTTGAATCTCTGTGTGTCGCTTCCCGGGAGAGGAGAGATGCTGTGGCCAAGGCGGCCATCCAGGCCCACTCCTCCAGCTGGGTGCTCACTTCCAAGCCGGGTCCACTTGGAAACGCGGGAGCTGGCTCTTAACACAGCGTCTGGAACAGTTCTTGAAGGACTGCCTTCCAGCTCTTAGGCCGAAGGAGGCTTGAACCAAGGAAGGAGCACAGGTGGGGGCTGGGGTTAGAGTACAGAGAAGAGTCAGGGAGGCGGGCGCTGTGTCTCATGAGGTGAAGCTGCTCCATGAGGAGGCTGGAAGATGTCCATCTTCAAGCACTGCCTGTCCTCTTTCCATGTCAGTATATGCAGCCAATGTCAACGTGGAGAAAAAGCAGGCCCAGCTGATGCAGCCTTTCTCCCATCCTCCCCAGGCCCGTTCCTTCAACCCCTTTACCTGAATCGGCCCCTGCCCTCACTCTGCTGCCCCTCCACTCTGCCCCTCACAGCCTGCAGGTGTCTGGCTCCCTTCTTCACCTCTGCTGCCTCAACCCAGATCCCTGCCCTGCCCAGAATAAAGTCAAAGTGAAGGAAAATGTCCTCAGCAGGGAGGAATATTGTGCAAATTCATAAAATTAGGATTCTGTTTACAGCGGTAGCCCAAGTGTTCTTAGTTTAAACAGCTCTGACTGGGTATATTTTTTTTATTTTGTAAAAGATTTTATTTATTTATACAGGAGCTGAGGTATAGATCAGAGGTGCAGGCGGGTGAGAGAATTCACCAGAGACAGAGCAGGGAGCAGAACAGACAGATGGACTGAAAATACTACTGAGGGGAGCAGCGGGCGAGACAGGAGAGGTCTGCCACGCCATGTGGGAAGCTCCCTGGCCAGCCGGGAATTGAACCTGCGCCTCAGAGGCTGCGGACAGCTTCACAGCATGGCGCTCAACCCTCTGCGCCACTGGGGAGGCCCTGACTAGGTTTAAATGCATTGGGATTTCCACCGTTGTGATAAAGTTCACAAGTCATTTCTTTTTTGTCTGTGGGAAGGACAGACTACCAAATATGAACATCAGCTTTCCAGTGTTAACCTTTTTAAGGAAGGCACAAGACTTACCACCAGCCTGAGGCTGGAGGTGAAGCCTAGAACAGTGGGGAAGAAGTGGCCAGGCTGAAGCCTCTCCCACTTGGTTTGCTGGCACCATCTCACCCCGAGGATGAGGAAAGAGTGCATCCACCACCCTCGCAGAGGTGGGTGGACAGAAGAGGCAAAAACAGGAAAGCATTCCCTCAGCAGCTTTGCTTTTAAATCAAATTCACAATAAAGTATTGCTTGTATTTTCCCAAGACGTTTATGTCACAATCATGCTGTTTCCCATTTTCCTTCATAATTTTTTGTATTTTTACAAGTCATATTTACATTTGGCTCCATTATCATTGCTACTTGAATTTGTGAGCATTAATGTGATGCTGTCATACTTCAAGAACTTATTTTTATGTCTTTTTCTTAAGGTGTAAACTGGTTTTTTGAAAGCACACACTACACCAAGGCACTGGGGAGCCTTTGAAGCCAGAACAACCTTGGGCTATACTGCTCCCCTGTGGCCATATTAGCAATGAGCAAGGGTGTTCTTCAGCCAGTCTTTTTTATTAATACATTAATTTTTTTAATTTTTTACATCATTGTTCATTTTTAAACAATATTTACTTCCCCCACCCCCTCAGGTATAGTCCCCATAGAGTTTCCTTCACCCATGTACCCATGCACCGTCACCTCTGTCCCCTGTGCTCCTCCCTCCCTCCCTCTGGTCCATCTCCCTCCTCCTCGCCAGCAGGATGTCTCTGGTTTATAATTGTCTGGTTTTGCTTTGTTGTGTTTTGTACTGTTATTTTTTTTACACTGATGTCCTATTTGGTTCCCCTATATTCCTGCTATAAGTGAAACCATCCATCCAAAGCAAAAAAAGTCAAGGACAACATAAACAGCTCGGATTACATCAAACTGAAAAGCTTCTGCATAGCAAAAGAGACATTAACCAAAACAGAGAGACACCCCACTGATTGGGAAAAAATCTTTTCACCCCAGTCAACTGATAAGGGACTGATCACAAAGATACACAAAGAACTCCCACGACTCAACAAAAACAAAATAAACAATCCAGTCAAGAAATGGGCAGAAGAACTTAAAAGACATTTCTCCAAAGAGGAAATGCAAATGGCCAACAGACATATGAAAAAAATGTTCAACATCCCTTAACATCAGCGAAATGCAAATTAAAGCCACATTGAGATACCACCTTAACACCAGTGAGAATGGCACATATCAAAAAAACAAGCAACAACAAATGTTGGCGAGGATGTGGTGAAAAAGGAACTCTCCTGCACTGCTGGCGGGAGTGCAAACTGGGCCAACCGCTGTGGAAAGTGTCTGGAGTTTCCTCAGTCTGCTAAAACTGGAGCTACCATAGGACCCAGCAATTCCACTCCTAGGGATCTATCCAAAGGACACAAAAACATTGATTCAAAAGGACACCTGTACCCCTATGTTTATTGCAGCACTACTTACACTAGGTAACAGCTGGAAACAACCCAAATGTCAGCCAGTCTTGACCACAGTGAACCAAGGGGTGGGAGAGCACATTGTTGTGTTCAGCTTTTTAATGTTGGTGTTTGTTGGCACCCGTCCCCTTCCCCGTTGTGGATGGGAAGTGTCTCCACAGCGGCCCAGGGTACATGACACACAACTCATCGTGGTTGTTTCTGAGAACAAGAACATCAGTAGAAGTCACAGGTTGATGCCTGCGGTAAAATGAAGGTTCCAGGTCAATCCTACAGATTGCTAAACTCACAAACTTGTACCAGGGTCACAAGGCATTTTGTGACAAAGCATTTGTAACAACCCCCTCCCACCTCTGTCATGTGCATCTCTAATGGGGTGCGGGTACCAGGTGTGGATGTAGGAGGATTTCTTTCTAGTCACACTCTCTTTTCTGCATTACTGTCATCACCTCATTTGAGGCATACTCAGGACATCGTGCAATTTGAAGCCTGAAAGATTGTTGAGGAGCAGTCAGCCCACCGCCTCCCTTATAGCGGAAGGGAGAAGCTCTTACAGTGGAAGTACAGAGCCCACCCCAAGCCCAGAGATTCTGATGTAAGAGGTGTGGGTGGCATGTCTCAGTCACACCAGGCAGTTCCTGTCACATCTGGGCAGCCAGTCATTAGGCACGGAGGGGAGGGGGCGTCCTGGTCCCTTCATAGGAGGCTCCCACATCAGTCATCAAAGGGAGCCCCAGAATTCATGGGCCCACACTCAAGGCCCTGGCTTACTCTTGCTTAAGTCGGAGCCACCTGGGGAGTCTTACAGTCACACCTACCAGCCCAGCCCCTCTTTTTTGATCAGTCTAACAATGCAGCCTGTGGTTTGACTTTTAAAAGTTGGGGTGGGGGGGTGGGGAAAGGAGGGCTTGGGGTAAATAAGGGGGTTATAAAGTCTACTTCTGTTCTAGACAAAAAAAAAAAAGTTTCCCAGTTGTGGGCCTCCCTGGTGGCACAAAGGGTTAAGCACCGCACTGTGAAGCAATCCACAGCCTCTGCAGCATGAGTTTGATCCCCAACCAGCCAGGGAGAAACCCATATGCCAGGCAGACCTCTCTTGTCTCGCCCACTGCTCCCCTCAGAAGTATATTTCAGTCAGTCTGTTCTGTTCCCTGCTCTTTCTCTGGTGGCTCCTCTCACCCCCCGCATCTCTGGCCTGCACCCCAGCTCTTGTATGCATAAATCTTTAAAAAAGTTTCCCAGTTATTTGCTTACAGAATGTGATCTCTGTCCCCCAAGTTGGCTTTCAAAGCGTGTGAAATTAAACTTAATTGGCAACATAAAATGGCTATGTTCAAGGTTCCAAGTATTTCCACTTTCACTTCTGGTTTTGAATTATGCTGCACCAGTCCACTCCAAGGGAAAAGTAAATAAAAGTGGGGTGCCAGACACCCCAAGCTGAGCATCTTCAAGTTTGAGAGAGAACAAGTCTCACATGTAGAAAAGGGTCTGTTTGAGATGTCTTGTAAGTGGGTATAGATTTTGCTGAAGTTAGCAAAATCTCCATATTCTCATCTACCCGTCCACTCTACCCCACCAACAGCCACTCTTCCCTCAAACTGGTTCGGCAAAGCATCATCTCTGGAAGGCTGGAAAACTCTGGACGTTCACATCAGCCCTGGGAAAGGCAAAGATAATTATGCAGAGAAAGCACAAAGGCAGTTTTAAGATCGCAATTGTGCCTATTTCCACTGAAATTTCTCCACTTAGCTTTATTTCCACTAACTTGTATTCTTCAAAAATCCCTTTTAAGCCCAAGCTATGAGACAGTCTCTGTTCTCCTGAGATTCACTATTTAGAGAACAAAGCAGGCAAAAAAGCAAAGCTACGTGG